GATTCTCTTGCCTCAGCCTCTCAAGTAGCTGGGACTACAGGTGCCCACCACAATGTCTGGCTATTTTTGTTGTTGTTGCAGTTGTCATTGATTTTAGCTGGGCCAGTGATATGTGGTTGGTGCTATAACCACTGTGCTACGAATGCCAAGCCAAGACATCTTTGCAACTGTGAATTGAGCTGCAACAAACATTTGAGTACACATGTCCTTATGGTAAAAATGATTTTTTTTTCTTCTAGGTAGATACTTAGTAATAAAACTGTGGGATCAGATGGAAGGTCTACTTTTATCTATTTGAGAATTCTCTATACTTCTTTCCAAAAATCTATATTAGTTTGCAATCCCACCAACAGTGTATAAGTGCTCCCTTCTCCTCACACTCTTGTCAATGCCTGAGGTTTGGGACTTTGTGATATGGGCTATTCTCACTGGTGTTAGGTGACAGCTGAAGGTGGTTTTTATTTGCATTTCTCCAGTGCTTAGGGACAATGAGCTTTTTTTCATATGTTTGTTGGCCATTCTTCTGTCTTCTTGGGAGAAAGTTATGTTCATATCTTTTGTCCAGTGATAAATGGGGTTGTTTGGTCTTTTCTTGTTGATTAGTTTGAGTTTTCTGTAGATTCTGGTTATTAGCCCTTTATGAGATTCGTAACATGCAAATATCTTCTCCCGTTCTGAAGATTGTCTACTTGAATTGCTGTGTCCTTAGCTGTGCGGAAGCTGTCAAGCTTGATAAGGCCCCATTTGTTTATTTTTGATGCTGCTGCAATTGTCAATGGGGTCTTCTTCATAAAATCTTTCCCCAGATTTCTTTTGAACAGATTGAAGCAAGGAAACAGAAAGAAATACAAAGCACAAAGGGTATTCTTAAGTAGTTCCTTTTGGGTAGATGGTCATAAATCTTAAAGCTGGTATAAACTGTTTTAAGCTGCCTTACTTTTCTTTCAGTTAATTGTAATGCTGGAGTCCCAGTCCTATGGGAAGAGAGAGAGCTCCGAGTCACTTGTCAGAAAGGAACTGTGGCTCCATAAACAGCCAGGCAGTGTGTATATTACTCTTGGAAGACCTCCTGCTGCCGCCTGGGAGCGAGCACCTGAGGCTTCCTGTCTGCTTGGTAGTGAGAGCCCTGTGCAAATAACCTCTAATAAACTCATCTACCTTGCCAAGCTGAGGTGATCTGAGCCATTGTTTTGGCTCTTGGCACTATCTCAGTATGGAGGGAGGTTTTTCTATACCATACTGGGATTTTTCCTGAAACATCCCCCAAAAGTAAACCCATAATTCTGCCATGTGTATGTATCTTGATAGTAGGGACTTATTAGTGACCAGCATCCAAGATGTCTCCAGTGATTCCTCCCTCTCTTGATGCTGTGGTTTGAATGTATCCCCAAAGCTCATGTGTTGGAAACTTAATTCCCAATACAACAGTGTTGAGAGGGGGGACCTTTAAGAGGTGATTAGGTCGTGAGCACACTGTCCTCATGAATGGATTAATACTGTTGTCATGGAGTGAGTCTGTTATAAAAGTGAGTTTGGCCCCCTCCTCTTCTCTCTTATGCCTTAGTTCTAATTTTTTTTT